AAAAAAACAAGATTCCGTCTCAAAAAAAAACCCTAGGCTAAAAACAGTAACTAACATTTAGCAGCATCTAGGAAGTAGGTTCTGGTCTTATCCACGGTATAGAGATGGGGAACTGAGGCTCAGAAAGTCACTTGTCTGAGGCAAGTGCCAAGGTCAGGATTCAGAGCTCAGTCTTTCTAACTCTAGGTCATGTTTGATCTTAGATTTGCTCAGCCCTCTCTTTCACAATACTGAGGTTAAGTGCTCAGAGGAGTACTTGCTCTTGCCCTTTCTTCTCTGGGGAAACTTGGGCCCTGCCACTTGGAGTGCCCTGGGCTCCCAGCCACCCATGGCACTCATAAATTCTGTTTGCTGTTTCAGGAGCAGACCCTGAGGAGACCATTCTCAATGCATTCAAAGTGTTTGATCCTGAAGGCAAAGGGGTGCTGAAGGCTGATTAGTGAGTGGGGTCTGTAGGGAGGAGGGGAATTCCCTGCTCCCTCCACCATATACACCTGACACCAACATCTGCTTCTCTCTCTCTGCAGCGTTCGGGAAATGCTGACCACGCAGGCAGATAGGTTTTCCAAGGAGGAGGTAAGGAGGTCTTTTAGCCACTCCCTGCACCCCAGCTCCTGGGCTTACTTTCCAGGGGGCTCCATCTCCCCCCCCCTTGTCCAAATCACCTCCAATACCCTGTGAGAAAGAACCAGCTATCATTTATTAAACACTTGACTCATTTCATTCTCTCAATCACCCTATGAGGTAGGGACTAATATTATCATTTTATAGAGAGGAAAACTGAGGCCCAAGGAAGTCACTTGTCAATAATATCAACACCAATGCTAAAGGCCAGAGTCTGGGTTCAAAGCCAGGTCTCTCCGACTCTGTGTTCTGCCTTTCACACAATGCATAGAGATCTGGTCAGAGCATCAGTTTACTGTGGTGTGAATGGCCACCACATACGGTCGTCTAAGAGATACCAGTCTCATAAAATTCATCATAAAATGTGTATTTATTTTTGCAATAGTGTTTCCAGCAGGTGGCAGTTAAGTGTCTTGTTATATTTTTTTTAAAATACAGTATACAGGCTTGGCACCTGTGGCTCAAGTGGCTAAGGTGCCAGCCACATACACCTGAGCTGGCGGGTTTGAATCCAGCCTGGGCCCGCCAAACAACAATGATGTCTGCAACCAAAAAATAGCTGGGCGTTGTGGTGGGCACCTGTAGTTCCAGCTACTTGAGAGGCAGAGGCAGGAGACTCACTTGAGCCTAGGAGTTGGAGGTTGCTGTGAGCTGTGATGCCATGGCACTCTATCCAGAGGGACAGCTTGAGGCTCTGTCTCAAAAAAAAAAAAAATACAGTATACAGTAGAACCTCTGTAAGTTGACTATCCAAGGGACTGTAACAAACGTGGTGCATGCCCAGTCTATGAAAATTGATCAACTTAAGGAGGTGGTCAATGTAGGGAGGTGGTCAGCTATGGAGGTTCTCTTGACTATGAAATTTTTCTGGCAGGTGCAGTAACATGTCTAGAAGAAGGGGAACCTTTGGTAATTTTCCAAAGGTTCTACATGAGCAAGTGATGGTCCTGTTGACCTTATTAGTGAACTTTACTGAATTTATTTAAAATAGTCCCTGTGTAATCTCTCAGGCCTGTTTCTAAGTTCCACATTTTACTAAAATTTGTATTGAAATTTACCTCTTCCCAAGACTCAAGCAGTTAAAAGAACTGCCTTCACCTTCCCCCAACTGTGTGGACAAGCTACTTAACCTCTCTATGCCTCAATTTCCTCATCTGTAAAGTAGGGATAATAAGGGAACCTACCTTATACTATATTGTGAGGATTCAATGGCTTAATCTGTGTTAAACTGCTAACAAGTGGTTAGGGCAATATACGTGTTAACTAATAAGAGCCTATATAAAATTAATATAATTATTATTAATTAATAACATTATATTAATAATATTTTTTTTTTTTTTGAGACAGGGTC